CCTCCTGCACAGCGTCCTCGGTGTCGGCAAAGTAGTAGTGGAGCTTGTCGTCGTCGTCGTCGTTGGAGTAGTCGGTCGCCCAGATGGCGAACTCGGCCAGCGGCGCGCCGACGCCGATCAGGATGGCCAGCTCAAAGGCCTGCTCGCCGTTGCACTCCACCTCGGCCAGCGTGTCGATCAGGTGCTTTCGGCCCCCGTCACCCTACAAAGGAAAGAGAAAACCACAAAAAAACAGAATTCCTTAACTTAGCACTAAAGCTACAGTGCAACGCATGGTTGAGCACGTACGATGGAGTTGTAGTGAAGCTCAGTCAAAATGTCCAACGCTCTCTGTGCGTGTGTGTGTGCAGACCACCACAATCATAGTTAGTCGCCGTTTGCTGTTGAAGTGGCACGCCAATGAATGAACAAACCTGGTTCGTCTGGGTCCAGCTGAAGAAGGTGAGCAGGTCGGTCACGAGCGAGCAGTCGGGTGAGGTGAGGTTGTTCGGGATGGAGATGAAGCTGATATAAGCCAGTGGATAGGACTCAGCGCCCGGCGCATCGAGGATGTCCACAACCGTGCCCGCATTGATCTCCTGGGCAAAGTCAGCCACCGCCGCCGCCACACTGCGATCGGAAGCAACCCAGGTGAGAAACCACCAACCAACGGGAAAGTGGGACACGCTTCGCGGAGGCGAACCTCTTGGTGGAGAGCGCGATGGTGTTGTTGGCCTTGTTGACCAGGCTCGCGCAAACCAGGTTGGCCCGCAACGCGTCGGCCGAGCCCAGGTAGGTGAGCGCTCCCTCAGTCGCCCGCACAAAGTTGAGGCGCTCCGCCTGGTCCGCAATGGCGTGGGCGTGGCCGTTGAGCGCGGGCGGGAGGCCGCTGAAGTCGCCGTCGGCGGCCTCGATAGCCGGACCCAGCGCGTCGTTGTAGGGCAACAGCGCGCGCTTGAGCGGCTCCGATATGTCGAGGCCGTCGCCGGTGATGAAGGCCATGGTGATGTTGAGCGTAGGCAGCTTGTTGGCGAGCGCGAGCTCAGGATTGAGCGTAGCCAGGTAGGGATCGGACCACACGGTGATGTTTCCCATGAAGATCTGAGTCGTCCCCCAGTGTCAACGCCGAATACAGGACAACCGCATAAAAGGAAATCGTGATGGGATTAATCGCACAGTACCCCAGCAGTGAATTAGGTGCGTTTCAGGGTACTAGCATAAAAGGAAAACAGAGCACACCAATCCGAAAAAAGCAAAGAAATAGATTAAAAAAACGATAATAGCAGTGGGTGGCCGTGGTAACGTGAGCAGTGGGCGACGTACATCAGCGAGGGCTTTGAGATCCAGCACGAGCAGTGGGTCGGTCGACGCATTCAGTGTGGGCAGGTTGTAGGTGAAGGCCAGGCCCTGCGCGGCGATGGGCACCTGGAACATGGAGCCGTACTGCTCGATTGAGTCCGGGTCACTGGAGTCAACTGCGGCGTTGAGGTTGATGAAGTCGTTCTGGCCCGACAGGATGTTGTCCAGGGCCTGCTCGGCCGCCTCGACATCGTAGACCACGGTCACGTCGTCCCGAGTGGCGCGGTAAGCGTTGCTCCAGGCCTCGTAGAGGGGCTTCACGTCTGCGTCGCCCTGGCCATACAGCTCCTTGCTGAAGATGCTCGCTGCTTTGGGGGGAGCGTACCAGCAACAATCAGTTTGTACAAAATGTAGAAATAGAAGAAGAAGAACAAGACAAGAAAGAGGAACAAAGACACATGAGGGAGGAGGAGGGGCAGCTTACCAGAGCCAGGCTGCAGCAGCGGGGCCAGCAGCCCAACTACGAGGAGGAGAGGGAAGAGCGCTATGTGCCGGTGAGGCCCCATTATTGTTGTTGCTCAGCCCTTCCCTTTCAATGGCTGGTTGGTGTGAGCTGTGCGGCTTTGCGTCAGGCGTGGCTTGTGTGATGTCGCGGTGCCAGAAAGTTAAGGCCTTGGTCAAGCTGAGTACGCCTACTCGGAGACCATGACACCATGCCACGCCAGATCTTTGCCAAAGATAGGTTGCCACTATTCCTGGGTTTGGAAAAAACGCTCAATGTAACCCTCGTTGCTTTGTGTGCGTGCCACGGGAAGAAGGTGCCGTGTAAAAGGTGAAACCGCTCACCGCCCACTGGGCACTCGGAGAAAATGAATTTCTTACTTTTTTCTTTAAAGCTTTTCCTTTATTTTTATGTGACTTTCGTTTTCGTTCTTGTGATTGCGTGCGGGGATGGTGCAGGTACGGCCGCTCTATGGATTGGTGGCGGTTGTTGCGGCGACGCTCCTTCTCCTGTTCTTCGCGGGTCCTTCCGCCGTGCCTCGCAATTGGGACTCGGCCCCTGACGCACTCCTATCCACCACCATCGACATAGATATCGATCCGCCGGCTCCCACACCCCCAACTCCTACCGACCACGTGTCTCCCAGCACCAAGGAGCATACAGAGCCACCTAGTCGTTCGATTGATGAAGAGAAAGATGAAGAAGTGGAGAAAGATGCATCTGGAGATGAGGTACCCAAAACAACTGAGTCACCACCAACAGCAACGACGAGAAAAGATGAAAAAGATGAAGAAATAGATCACATCGCAAAGACGCCACAACCAGCGACCAAGGGGAAGGAGGAGATGGAAGAAGAAGATGAAGAGGAAAAGAAAGAGGAGAAGAAGGTGAGCGACTACACGCTCGTGGTCTACGTGTACTGGGAGCGCGACGCGGTCTACGCCGAGAACCTGCGATTCTTCCTGCGCGCGGGCGTGGGCTCGGCCGAAGAGAGCCAGCGGGACCGGGTGGAGTACCTCCTGATCGTGCAGGGCCGCACCCTGTCCGTCGACGTGCCGCGCCACGTCAAGGTGTGGAAGCGCGACAACACCTGCTTCGACTTTGGCGCCGTCGGCGCAGCCCTTCGGTCGAAAGCGCTCCGCCTCCCCACATTCCGTCGCTACGTCATCCTGTACACGGCTCCTCTTCGTTCTTCGTTCTTTGCCCTTCGTTTTTCTTCGTTCTTCGTTCTTCGTTCTTTGCTCTACGTTTTCGTTTCGCTCTTTCGTTCTCACGCGTCTGTGGCCACAGGAATTCGAGCGTGAAGGGGCCTTTTCTGCCGGCGTACTGGCCGTCCAACGTGCATTGGTCCACCATCTTCACCAGTCGCATCAACGATCGCGTCAAGCAAGGTATTAAGACGTTGTGTATTGCGTGTTTCGTGTGCGCATGTATGTGCGTTCATGCGTGTGTATGCGTGTTTGCGTGCGAAGCTAACGGTGCTGTGCCTCTTCTCAACGCAGTGGGCACGTCGATCGTGTGCCTGCCCAAAACGGACCTGGGCGGCTGGGGTCCACGCATTGAGGGATTCTGTTGGGCGACCGATCACGTGGGCATCGAGCTGGGCATCAAGCGCGGAGTGTTCGACTGCTTCGCCAACAAGGAAGACGTCATCGTCAAAGTACGCTCACTCGCTTCCCTCAGCTCTCTTCATTTCTCTTACAGAAACACGGTCGACTTGAGTCCATCATATGTACTAATCATCCTTCATTCGTTCCCAGGGCGAATACGGCATGTCGCGCGCAGTGCTGGATGCCAACTACACGCTCGACACGGTGCAGCTCAAGTACCAGGGCGTCAATTGGACCGACACCGCCAACTGGGGCTGCAACGCCAACGTGCATCCCACCCGAGCCGACGCCTACGACGGCATCAGTACAACTGCGCCCACTTTTATTATTATGAGAGATATGCTATGCAAGACTATGCTATGCTGCGATATTAATACGATGTTAATGCGTTGATTCAGGCATGCACCCGCTGGAGACGGTGTTCCACAAGAGGAGCTGGACCGACGTCAGGACCGACGTGCTGCCTGAGTACATGAACCGCTACGCGCAGTGGAAATATGACGCGCTCGATCGCCGGGCGGGAAAGAGTCGACCACCATCATGAGTGTAAATGTTATGAGATCATCTTTACACCTCTCTCTCTCCTCGCGTTGAACTGAGTACGTCATGGGTCAGAGGACCGTAAGAGACCTTGGACTATCACACTTTTGCAGGCTGAGCTGAGAGCTTTCAGCTTGTATTAGAATAGCTCGGTGTTGATTGATGTTGACCACTTCACTTCCTCTTGGGCTTGTTGGCGCGCTGCTTCTCGACGTCGCCGAAGGGCTTGGGGTAGAGGACCATTTTGATCGTCAGCGCCAGCGGGATGAGGAACCACGGCAGGTACACGCTGAACATCTTGAGCCTGCACAGCCAGCCCCAGTTCTCCCATCAGCATTTGCTTATCGTGCGCGCATGTGCGTGTGCGGTGGTGCGTGTGCGTGTGCGGTAACAACCTGTGGGTGGGGTCCATCGGCGTGAAGGCGGTCTCGAAGAGGATGGGCGTCATGACGGTGACCAGGTGCGTGCCGTACATCAGGGCAGGAATGCGGATCCAGTTGCGGCCTGGTCAAGAGGAAGAGGAGGAGGAGGTGTTAGCCCGATGCCGACGCCGACGCCGATGCCGATGTCGACGCGAATTGGCCACCCAGCTGTGTCTACGTACACTTGGCGAAGGCGTAGACGGCAACGAAGAAGAACGGCACCTGGACGAGCATCTCGGCCCACATCAACGACTGGAACCACAGCGGCGGCTTCGCCATCAGGAAATCTGTGCGTGCGGCGTGCGCGGTCGCGTGTAGTGTCGTTGTTCAATTCTTTTAGTCGACCAACTCAAAAGGGAAATAAAGAGAAGCTGCACGAGTTTGAAGCTGCGGCTCTCCGTACCTCCGAAGTCGCTGATGTAGAAGTCGACAAGGTACACGGCGGCTTGCGGGTAGATGCTGCGGTCCGGCACCAGCGCCTGTGCATCTGCAGATTGTGATTGCGATTCAGCAGCCGGAAATTGAAAATCGACACTGAAATCAGTGGCGTACCAATGAGAAGGGTGATGGGAATGTGGATGGCGAAGTAAATCAAGAAAATGTTATCGAGCAGCGAGCGTCCTGCCATCTTGTTCTTCGCCAATAGAAATAATAAATTAATTAGCCACTGTCGACAGAAAAGGAAATAAGCGGGAAGGAAAAGGAGAAAAAAAAGAAACTCCGTCGGACCAAAACACAATCTTGTAATCAACAAACGACAATCCAGTAACTATACCATGGTACCATCTTTGTTCATGCTTTCTTGCGGCTCGTGCAACTGTTGGCCATCCTCCTGTGTTTGCGATTTTTTCGATTACGAAACAATTTTCATCTGTGATTTCTGTGATTTTCGCGATTTTTTTTTCATCTTCTGATGATGCGGGGGGCGGAACACAGTCGCGTAAAAACAATCTGTCGCGGCGCCGGACACAGCATGCGTCGGTCCTGAAGAAGGAGGCCGAGGAGGAACGCAAGCGGCAGGAGCGGCTCCAGCGCCGGAAGGACAACGCCACCAAACGCAAGCGCGAGGAGGTGAGCCCTTATCCTTTTTCTTTTTTTTTCTTTTCTGCATGCCGTGTGCGTGCGGTCATGCCGTGTGTTGTTGTGGTGTGTGTCGTGTTGTGAGGCGTGTCGTGTGCCGTGTCGTGCCGTGCGGTTGTGTCTTCACTCAACCGGTGAACGTCTGATGCGCTGCAGGAGGCCAAGGAGGAGATGCAGATGGAGCACAGCGAGGCGCCGGCGGGCAAGAGGCGAAAGATCAAGCGCAACAAGAAGAGCAAGGCTGCGCGCAAGGAGAAGGGCAAGGAGGTCGACAACGAGGAAGAGGAGGAGGTATGCGCCCATCTACCTGTGTCGTGCGGTGGTGTCAGTGTGCGGTGTGTGTCGTGTGTTTATTATGCTAATCACGATTATCACTGTCAACAGGAGATGGAGACGGAGAAGGCGGCCGGCACGTCGACGGTGACGTCCACGACGACCACGGCGGCCATGGAGGTGGCGGCGCCCAGCGAACTGGCCCGGCGAACGATCAGGCGGGCCAAGCGCAGGTCCGACGGCGCCAAGCCCGCTGCTGCCGCCACTTCGATGGCCATCGAAAACGCGGCCTAATGCTGCGAAGCCATTACTACACAAATATAAATGCCCACTTATGCATTATTACCTCACACTCCCAACATCTCCTCCTTACCACATGCTGGCAAAAATGTAAGGAATACGAGTGCGGCTCCGGAATGTTCTGACTCGTTTGCCCCAAGGCCAAGAATATTGCACACAAGATGAAGAGGGAGGAGTACCGGCAGTGTGGCTTGGGTGCGGTGGCGCTTACGGCGCTCGTCCTTCTGGTTAGTTGTTGCCTGCCGCCGGCGGATGCGTCATCTTCGTCGCTGTTCTTCGGCGTCGAGTTCGCCTACTCTGTCCACGTTCGCTCTGCCTCCTCCCCCAACGTACCCCGCCCTCTTTCTAAAGCTCCCCCCCTTTGGTGTTCTTTTCTTGTCGTTTTCGTTCTTGATTTATTTTATTTATTTTTTATTCGCTCCCACCGGCGCCGCATTGCCCCAGTTGTCGTTCGACAGCTTCACGTCGGTGAGCGCAAAGGAGCAAAAGATGAAGACCGTCACCGCCGAGTCGGGTTCCGGCGATGTGTTGTGGAACGCACAGGTCTACGACTGCACCACCAAGCGAGGTTCGTCCCAAACCGTACATTGAATGAACAAGACTGATTGTGGTGGCGGGATTCGATCAGCGTATGCGTGGACGGCATTCACCAACAACACCTTGGGACGCTGTGCGACGGCGGGCATCGCGTCCATTTGCCCCATCGCGACCGGACCCACATTCTGGGGTACATGACGCACACACAGCACACGCGACACTCAGAGGCGCACGCACACGCACAGGATAATTACAACAACGGCAACGTGCAGGTTCGTTTGCGTTCCTCCAGAACACGTCGCTGTTAGAGTTCGATGACGTGCAGCAATGGCGCTGGCAGGGACCCTACACCTGGCAGAAGGGCGACTTTTACACTCGCACCGTCGTGGTACATCGCTCTGGGCCAAATATGACCTGGTTGTGGTCACCAATCACAACCATGAGTATCAAAATTGATCACTGTGTTCTTTTTGGTGATTTGGTCTGATCACACTCAGGGCGGACGCATTGAACCGGTGGCCATCGCGGCGATGGCGACTTCGATTGGCGCGAGTGGCAAGGCGGCGCCGAGTACGACTACCTGGAACTACTACACGAGCTTCACGAACGAGCTGCCCTTCGACGCTTTCGCAATCCCCGCCGCGTGCTTCGCGTCTTCGCCGTTGCCCACCGCTGCCGGCCGGCTTCGGGCTCTCCCCTCGTCATTCTTGCTTGCTCGCCCGTCTTTTGTCTAAGACTTGCATTCTTGAGTGGCGCCACATTCCCTAAACGTTTCAACAAGATATTTATTGCGGGCTTTTCTCATCAACATGCCTGCACACACGAGGGCATAGTCCAAGCAACATCCAGGTTTAGGACTTGATTGGCAACATCTCTCCTAATGCACAACATTGTCGTAACCTTCGGAGCTTTGGTGATTGATTACAAGGTTGGCCAGCCACCACAAAAGTTGGCTTGAACAAGAAGACAAGTCATTGCCTACCTCCTAACCTGCTCCATCTCACCGCTCAACATGTTGAGGCCTACACTTGCATTCGCTCTGCTCTACCTCGCCTGTCTGGCCGCTGTGGCCATGGTGTGTCCATCCTTAAGCACTCCCAGGCCCACAGTTCTGCTAATCTGCATCTTCCACGTCCTTCAGGGCTACTCCTCCACTCTCTACAGTTCGAAAGACTGCTCTGGAACGCCTTTGATGACTATCACCTATGAGGAGGAACGCTGCTACCAGAGCTTCAACATCAACAGCACCGTCTGCCAAAGATTCTTTGACTGCGCCGGTAACGGAAGGATTGACCAGGCCGTCCTCTACGGGAGATGCGCTCAGTACCTGCTCCCTCGCAACGCATCGCTCCTGGTGCAATGTACGGCCAACCCCCGCTACCTTTTTCGTTTTTTTCGTTTTTCGTTTTTCGTTTCGTTTTGCTTTCTACCGAACCGCCCAAGCAATAACACCTCTACCCTCAGCCGATGGAGTCGTTCGCTCGTACCTCTCGAGCCCGGATTGCACCAAGGGCTTCATCCCCTTCACACCGCCCAAAACCAACTGCGAAGTGAGGAAGGCGTCGGCGTCCTGCAGCGAGCTTTATGGGAGCGCCTCGTCCACCACTTCGGCCGGCTCCGCGTCCCCCGCCAGCGCACTTCACTTCTGGCTGCGCCAGCTTCTCTCCCTCTTGTTGGCGTGATGATCTTTATTTTCATTGTTTGAAGTATGGAATAAATAGAAGAGCTTTTAACGAGGCCAAGACGTGTATCTTCTTAGTCGATGTGAAGAGTGCGGTCAGCGTAGCCGTGGGCAGCCTTGTGCTTCTCGAAGAGCGCCGAGAGCGCAGCCACGTAGCGTTCGTGCAACGCGTCCACTGCCTCCGCGCTCGGGTTGTCCGTCTGTGTCGGTGGGTCGTTGGTGAGCTCCCCCCCTCTCACAGTAGCTCATGCTTTTAATTGTGCACAGCTGCGTACCTTGGTCACGGGTATTAGTATATACGCGTTACGGTTTCGCCTACACACCCCTTACGGTTTCGCCTACATGCCCGTTACGGTTTTCCCGACACTCCGGAACGACCCTCTACGCTCTCACCCACGCTACGCATTATATGTATTGGGAGGTGACTAACACGGCCAGTGGAGAGGGTCCTCTTCGAGGAGAGAGAGGAGTTCACTCCAACTGATCTCCTCATCGGGGTGGGTAACGTCATGAGGGGGAGCTCGTCCCGGCGAGGACGGGCACGTGCGCGTATCGCCTTCCGAAAGAAAGCTATCTAGGATTCCGTCAAGGAGGGCGCGCGTATCGCCTTCCGAAAGAAAGCCATCTAGGATTCCGTCAAGGAGGGCAAGGTCCTCGTGGGCGTCCCACGGAGTTGCATCGGCGTGTAGCTGCTCGCGTGCGGAGTAATCAGCGACAATCATCTCGTGCATTTCGACCTCGACATCGCCTATCATGTGCGTGAGTACGCAGAGTTAAAACCTGGAATGCAGGAGCGTGTATTCGTACCATCCGCGGGACCGGCATCGGCTTGTAGCTGCTCGCGTGTGGGGCCATCGCACACTGTCCTGTCCTTCATTTCGGCCTCAACGTCCCCTATCCGGTGTGAGTGAGTCAGTATGCAATTCGAGAATGGTGAGTGAGGGGAGTGAACCAAGGGCGGAAATGAACTCCTGCAGCTCATCGTTTGGGGCAGTAATGCAAACCGCATTACCATCACCACGTCCGGTGAAGCAGTACTCATGAGGCGTGACAGTCGACAGACCCTTCGATCTTGTTACGACTTAAAGGGAGGTCAGTCTTTCCGACTCGAAATGAAAAGGTAGAAAGGGGTACCTAGTATGTAAATCGTTCCACCGAAGAATTTGACGAGCTCCTCCGCCTTCGATACAATCGGCATTCGCCGGTTGGTTTCGTTCTTCGTCGGTGTGTTTGCTGGCCTTGCTGAAAGCTGAGGGAACAACCCAACGCCGCGTAGAAGACAGTACAGGTTTTGGAGTTGTTGGAGGTCGACCTGTTCGAGGAGCTCGTGGTGTGGAATGTCGGGGAAGTACTCGATCTAGTCTTGTGAGTAGGAGATTCCTACTGAGGTGTGAAAGGGGGTACCTACCTTCCTTCCTTTGTTTGAGACGCGCTTAGTGAGGAACAAGATGTCGTTGTTGGGGAAGTCTCTCTGGTACGCCCTAACCATGCTCAGTAAAGTGGAATATCGAGAGTTCCTGTTGGAGGGAGAAGCTGTTTAGTATTGCTTTTGAAGACGGTTAGGTGAACATGGTACCATCTCGATGATCGTAGCCGCTTTGCAAACGGTAGATTTGTTTCCATTCGGACTCGCCCAGGATCAACTGCGTTGGATGGAAGCCATGAGTGTTGATTGTGAAAAAGGGGAGGGAATTGTTTATACGTTGATACGGTGGAGATGACCGAGGAGGTGGCCAGTCAGGCCGAGTGGATGTCACTTGATCTAGTGGAAGATCTGCGGAGGGACAGATGAGTAAATGTGAAAAAGTGATTGATAATAAGGGAGGGAGAGTACCAGTACGGTGCGTATTGTTCTCTGTCTTAAACACCGAGCCGAACAGTGACTGTTCACCACTAATGACCATAGCTTCGAAGTTGTTGAGGTTGGTCAACGTGCCACATGACGGGCAGTTGATCGCGAGATCTTTCAGGATGAGGTTGTGCGAGGGATCCACAGGGCATGGCCACGCGCTCACGAATCTCTGCACTTGATCGACGATAAAGTCACGTTGCGCCTGGCACAGTTGGGAGGCTTCGTGGTGTATTGTTGGCATGGTCTTCCGAATATAAGTAGTGAGAGCATCGGCATCCGGGGCCAAGTCTGTATGCAAAACTCACAACGTGTTAAGCTCCGCTATATCAGATGTATGGTCAGTGAATACCGTTTAACAGAACTGGCGAGACGAGGACGGGCTGGGGGACGGGCGTGGAGCGAGCGTCAAGGAAGATGTAGAGATTCTTGACCGGCGGAAGGGAAGAATCGAGTTGCTGAAGCCGTGTGTTCATCGTAGAAACGAGGAAGAGGCGAAGCTTCTCGATAAGGAGGTGCACAAAGCTATTTGTGCAGAAACTGACCCGCGCATGGATGTGTTCTTTCCCCATAACGGGTCCTGTTTCCGCAGCAAAAGCTGTATGCCATAGGTGAGCTAATCATTGAGGGTTACTGCAACGGTGGATAAGAAGACGTTCAGGTCATCGGCGTTCTTTGGTGGGAGTACATACCGCAGTACACGCGACTTAAAACGTGGCGCCAATGCTGCTCATGATCGCCGGGGGGGAGGAATTCAAAACACCTGCGAATCTCGATTAGCATCTGCCACTGAGTGGGGAAAGTAGTGGCGTGCTGAAGGAGGACATACTCCATTACACGTTGACCTCCATCTCCGAAAAGAAGTGCGTCAACCGCGGTGGACAGCGCACTGACGTAGTCCCGCCGCTGGATGCCCAGGGGGTCGCCACGGAAGGATCGTCCAGTCACGGTGATGCCAAGTGAGTAGTGCCGAACCTCCCTTCTCTGTTGTACAACTTCTACCAGGAATGGACGAAGACACTGCATCTCGCAAGATTAAGAGCGAGGATGATAATCATGAGTTGGTGGCCCATACCTCTCGTAGAGTTTGCATCCGATACTGCATTCGTGAGAGTAAGAACTCTCGGCCCTCGGCTGTGGTGAGGTCCAGCCTGGGCGGTGGGGTCTCCTGCTGGTCGTAGGTGAGTAGTAGCTTACGATATTTCGTGAGGCCCTTCGACAGCACTGGCGTGTGGCGATCGAGTGCAGAATTGGACTGCGCGACGATGTTGAGTAGGGTGACCTCTCCCTCGATGTCCTCTCCAATATCGCGTATCTCCTCGTCGCTGATGGTCATGATGTGGAGGGGTTCGTCGATGATCGGGGGTGTGCTTGTTGAATTTACGCGGCTGCTGAGCATGCGTTTCAACCTGCGATGGTACTCTGCACGCTGGTGACGGAAAGGTTGGCAATGAGATGGTACAAGCCAATAAACATTGCACTTACCATTGCGGTGGGGTCATCGTGGGAGGGAAGGCAGAGCGAGTTGATGGTATTCTTCAGAATCTGACTCGCCACGCTGGTGCAATCTGACGCAGCCAGCTGTTCGAGGGTGACCTGGAAAACAATGCGTGAGGATCGAGCAGCCCGTTAACACCATGGTGGTGGACGTACCTCGTCCAGCGCAGAGACCACCCTGGCTGCTGGCGTTGTTACGTCAGCAGCAGGGGATTCATCTGCGGGTGGTGTGGGCTGAGTGGATGGTGGTATGGTGGGCTTGCTTCTCTTTGGCGTAGAGGCAGTAGTCGGCCTCGCCAAAGATTTTCTTTTGTTATCTGTGGGCGCCTGGAGGGTGGGGGCGTTAGTACATATAGCAGTTTAGTCCGCAAGACCTCACCTTTAGAAATGGCGTGTGGAATGGCCTCCTCTTCGACATCTTCCGCCTCTACAAAGAACGAAGAAGAACTGGCAAAAGCCGAAAAGGTATTTACAAATAATTTTCTTCCAGATTATTGTGAAAAAGGTGAGTTTCTTTGTATTTTAGAGGCGCTTTAGGGCGGACATCTGTTTCTTCCTTTCGTCGTACTTCTGCCGCCAAACCGATCCACGCTTCATATACTCCGTGTCGCGTAAGTGAGCAGCCAACAGGTTGCGTTGGGGCACCTTCTGGCCAAAGTCGAGGAACGGGCCGATGGTGTCGATGTAGGACAGCATGTTCGACCTGTTCCCCCAGAAGATCGAGTTCTGACCGACGCGACCGCCCCACGGGAACTTCTCGTTGATCTGGTGAAGAAGCGGAATGCACCCGGCTTGGCAGATCTTGATGTTACGAAGAGAGAAGCTGCCCTCGGCGATCGTTAGCCCGGCGACATAGGCCGCGGTCACGCGCTCCCACTGATGGTCCTCGTGGTTTCGGTCACGTTGACCACGCAGCCGGGCCTTGTACTCGTCGGTGGTCGGCCTCCTCCGATCTGAGCGTAGGAACTCCTCAGCCGTCCTGAGCTCGGCGTACTTGATGACGGAGTTGGCGAGGAGGACCTGGAGCAGCGGGTGGTCGGGCGACGCGACGGTGAAGTTGAGGGAGTATAGATTCCTCAGCGGTGGCTTCTGCTTGCTCTTGCGGATAACTCCAACCGACCAGCGCTGGACAATCCATTCGAGCTCCGGCGCCTCTCCGGCCGCGCAAGCCTGCGTGAAGTCGATCCGTATCGCGCCTAAATGGAGGGGAGCATAAGTGAATAGACCACTCCATAGGGGGTACTACGCCGGAAATATGTACCTCGCACACCCAAACTTCCGATGTGGACAATGACTGAGCCATCACCGTCGAAGAAGCCGGCGATCTTTTGCTTGTCGTGCTCGGTGGGTTCGACACGTGCATGTTGCTCGAAGTACTCCTCGATAACCTCGCTTGTAAGACGTCGAGCCCGCTTATGATTGATGTTGAGCGTAGTGCGTGTGAGGAGGAGGGACGCATGACCGTTCTGGACGATCCAGGCCTTGATCTGATCGTCCGTGGGGCGGGGTCCGAGGTCTGGAAGGGGATCGTCCTGGAAGCAGGGAGCTCCTTCGCGGCGGCGGATCTGTCTATACTGGCGGACATGCGGTTGGATGTGGAAGCGACAGTCCATGGTGCCGCTGTGGTCGGTGGTGTTGGGTAAAACGTTAATATTATACTGATTTGTTTTATATTAACAATAACGTAGGCAAATGCATAAAGCCAATAATAATCGCAGGTGTAGGCAGAATAGAACCAGTGTATCGTGGGCTAATGCGTAGCGTGGGTGAGAGCGTAGAGGGCATGTAGGCGAAACCGTAAGGGGTGTGTAGGCGAAACCGTAACGCGTATATACTAGTATGGGCTCGCCCACTACGGCCGTGAGCGGCACGGCGTAGGGAGCCGCGAGGAATCTGCGCCGCGGGCGATACAGGCAACCACGTCAGCAAGAGAGGCGCTCGAGAGATGCATTATTGGAACAGACACGCGTACCGGCCCATGAAGCGCACGACGGCCACCCGGAACCGCTTCGACACCCACATGCGCCATCGCATGCCCCACGAGTAGGTCTACAATATAGACCGAGAGGTAAATGACGTCAGCAGCCAAAAAAGGGGTTTATTGTTTATTTGATTTTGGAGGTTTGTGAGCGTAGGTACCTTGTAGAGGGAGGTCTCACCAAATACGTAGATAGGCACGAGGTGGGCGCCCTCTTCCATGGCGAGCCGAACGAAGCCCTTACGCGACTTCAGATGAATGTTTTCCTTGCCGTACTCGGTCCTGATCTGCTCGGCCTCGCCTACGCCACCATCATCATCATCCACAGAGCAACACTCATTGACAACTCATCTGCGCGATCAATTGTTGCAACCGTACCACCGGGGTACACAAGCACGGACAAGTGGTGGCGAAGCACGTTGGCGGCCACCGGCTTCGAGGCGTCGACACACGACGTCCACAGCCACAAGTCGCGAATGAACGGAATCTGAAGGAAACGAGAAGAAGAGAAATGTCAGTCCACTGGGAACCGGCATACGCCCGAGCATTCCTCAGAGCACCTTGAATGCGGAGGAGGCCACCAAGTCGCGGGTCTCGATGCCCGGGAACTGTTTGTTCCACCTACGTTGTAGTTTGTTTGTTTGTTGTTTGTTGTTTGTTGTTTGTTGTTTGTTGTTTGTTGTTTGTTGTTTGTTGTTTGTTGTTGTTAGGGGTCAAGCGAATGATAACGGGCGACAGGCGTTTGGTGTACGCGCGTACCGATCCTGCTTGTTGAAGCAGAAGATGGCGCGATTGAGTGCCAACGTCCCGTGTGGATGAACCGCAAGCACATATCTGATTGGTTGGTTGCGTGTTAACAAGCCACCACTATTGACTTTTTCGAATCGTGATCGATTGCAAGGAGAACGAGCAGTACACATTGGACGGGTCAAGCTCGGCAGTCTTGACGACGCTGCACGGGAAGTAGTCGAACAGGTACCTGAACACCGCGTGGTCATGGAACCAACGCCAGGGCTTGCCTGCGAGGGAGCAAAAGAAACTGAATAAATTTCTGATTATTTAATTTTGAGAGAATTTAAAATTATCGAATTTAAAATTATAGGTAATTTATTAATTGAGCCTAAAGTTCGGGGGATTGGTGGCGCGTACCCAGCCTGCGCTCGGAGCCGTCAAAGGAGAGGTAGAGATAGGCGGTGATGAGACCCACGCCTAGCCACCACCATGGGGTGAACAGGAGCCACACGGGCAGGCCCACAAGCACCAGCGGACCCACCACGTAGCACCCGTTCAGGAGTGTCAGCGCCACCGCGTCCCTCACCCACCCACGCCCCGACATATTTGCGTAAAAAAAAAGAAATGTCCAGGTAAAATGCTGGAGAAAAAGAAAATCATGTGCGGTCCTGACCACAGAATTTGCCCTGGCTTCGATGAAAAGGCCTTCTAGGACCAGAGACAGCGGTGGGCTTCCTTGAAGTGGACCTCCTCAAATACTCGCATGTGGTGCCCTGTCAAGTCATTCCAACAAACAACCAACCAGTACTTCCAACAGCAAACAGAAGAATGTCGATCGTGTCCGGAACCGGAGCTGTCCATCTCACCGACGACGTGCGCTCGGCTGTCGTCGCCGTCAGCAAGCGCTACAACTTCACCACCACCTCCGCCAGCGACAACTCGTCGCTCTTCGTGCCCTTCTGCACCCTCAAGTTCGTCGACGGCAAGCCCTGCCTCACCATCGACACCGTCTCTGCCACCACGCCAGTCTCTTCTTCATCATCGGACTCCGGCAGCGAGGTGGCGGCGGCGACGTGGGAGAGCCTGGTGGCGAGCCTGCCGCGCGACCAGTGCCGCATGGCCGTGGCGCAGGTGCCGTGGCGCGCCCACGCCGATGGCGTCGTGCGGTCGCGCCTGGTGTTCATCCTGTGGGCGCCCGAGGCCACGTCGACCAAGGAGCGCATGGTGGCGAGCATGTTCGCCAAGGGCGCCAAGGGCCTCATCGACCAGTGGGGCGCCGGCATGAGCCTGCCCATCCAGGCCGCCGGCGTCGATGACCTCGCCCTCGAGGACGTCGAGGACAAGATCCGCGCTAAGGCCACCGTCAAGTAGAACCAGAAGATCAAAGAGAAGGAGACATTAGATAGCGATGAACATGTGCGCAAGGTGACGTGAACTGTAAATAGATGATTTTACAACATATTTTGTTCCGTTCCTCGTGCTATTTTCCAGGCAGTGAGCGCTTGTGCGGTTCTTGTTCGGTGTCCTCGTCAGTGCGCAGTACGAATCGTACTCCGCAGTCGGGCTCCGTGCGCCAGGTCTCGTCGAGGGTGTATCCTGCTGGCGCCCGCTTCAGGCCCATATCCCACGCCAAGGCCACCACGCTTTCCACCCACGCCGGATCTGTGCAAACGGTTGGGGTACAGCTTCCGGCCTTGCGCGGTGCCGGATCATCTCCTGGCGGGACGAACCTCACCCCTCGAGGGACTTCGTTGGCCATCTGGTTCCAAAGATGGCAAGATGGAGTGGCTGTTGTTTGTTGGAAAATTGTTCTTGGAAAATATGAGTCACGATAGTAGAAAATGAAGAAGGGCAAAGGCAACAAGGAAAGATCACAAGAAGAACATGGACGAACCTTGCGGTGCAGAGGCGGGAGGGGTGGATTTACCCCTTGTTGAGCGGCTGCTTCAAGAAGCACTGCCGTATGCGCATCGAGTGGTGAATATGTACTTGGTGGGGTCGCGCGCCTACGGCCTCGCTGGTCCCGACTCGGACTACGACGTGACCGTGGTCATAGAGAGCGCGTACGATCTCGTCGGGCTGCAGTTCCTCTCCTTCTACGACGGCAATCTCAATCTCAACATCTTTCACCTGGCCTACTTTCGCAAGCTCATCCAACAAAACGTTGTCTGGATCCTCACGGTACACCTTCCTTCACGAAGGCCTCTTTATTTCTATTTAATGATAAATCGATCGTTATTTTATTTTATTTTATTTTATTTTTATTTATTTCTCTTGTGTAGGTGCTCTACTTGCCGCGAGAGTTCGTGTGGAAGGAGGAGGTGCGAGTGCCGTTTGAGCTCAGGAAGGTCGACCTCAGGCGCGCCGTGACGCTGGATGCGGACCACCACCTCTCCAAGGCCAAGCGCCTCTGGGTTCGTGAAGGTAGTCATCTTCACCACCACCATCGCCATCATCACTGGCCTCATGCGCGGTAGTGGCTGTGGTGACAAGCTTTGTAAAGTGGACTACACAACTGAGTTGCCGTCGTAGGTGACATACGGCGAGGCAAAAAGAACATCCTACACGGATTGCGGACGCTCCACTACGCACTGCAGCTCCTGCGACATGGGGCCATCATCGACCTGCAGGAGGTCAACCACCATTGGCCTGAGGTGCGAGATCTTGGTGGCTTCTTCTTATCGGCAGCTTGCTTACAAGTGTGTTATGTCTCCTCTCTCTCTCTCTCTCTCTTTTGTATTTACAGATCGACGCGGACCCCTCGACCGACTGGGCACACTACCAGAAGCGGTACCTGCCGCTGTACCAACGACTCAAGAAGGAGGTGACGGCCCTCACCGAGCCCAAGCCGATTCCTCCCGCCGCATTCACCGAGGAGCGACCCCTCACGCTCGCCTACGTCGAACGCTATGGCCTGAGCGCACCCTCTACGGTACTTCCCCACATTCACACATCGAATTGCGCAATGATGTTCGTGCGCGTGTGCGGTGGTGCGTGTGCGGTGGTGTGTGCGTGCCAAGCTACTAATGCGATATTGTTGATATTTTCAGGAGCTGGACATATTCATCAAGAGGGACAGCAAGTACCCCGAGCTGGTCCTGCTCCATCCCGACAAGTTGTGCTCGCCCTATTCCAACCCGGTGGTGAGGGAATGCTCCTCGGGTCTGCTGGTCGAGTTGACCAAGCCCACCGCGCAAGCCAACCAAGACAAAAGCGAAAGCGAAATCGAAAAGAACGAAAGAGAAAGCGAGAGCGAGGAGATCAGGCGGCTCGTGTGCCTCCCCTACCCGAAGGTGTACGAACTCGGGCACGCCAACGCCGAGCAGATCTGCGACTGGTCGGGCGCCAAGGTGTTCAGGATCGAGATCACCGACAACGCGCGAGTCGTCTCGCTCTACCACTATGCCGACGAATGGCGCATCTGCTCGTCGGAGTCGAGCGACTGCTCGGATCGGATCTGCCGAGTGCGGGTCAAGCACGGCTCCGCCGAGGAGCCGAGGAGAGAAGGAGGCGATGATGAAGAGGAAGAAGAGGATCGATACTACCTCAACTTCCCCAGCACGACACACTACAACCCGTGGAACTTCTTCGAGGAGAAGCTGACCAAGCCCCGTCAAGCCTTCGCCGCATTCACCACGGCCACGTCAACAGGTGAGCTCTTGCTTTTCTCCTCTCTTCCTTTTGTTTTCTTTTATTTGCCTTTGGTTAATTACGAAACATATTGGAAAGCGACTGGGCAGGGACCCCAGCATGGAGACAAAAATGAAGACGGGGCACAAGAAGACCTTGGCGAAGGAATGATCAACAAAACGTTTGGCGACTTCTTTTGGGACATCTGGCAGGAAAGGGACTACCGATTCCCCGAAGACACCAGCCTCTGCTACTGCTTCATGACCGCAGTGCCAGCGATACAGATCTTCACACACCTCACCCCACCAGGTACCTGTGTTTCCCATCACCAGTCGTTTATTTTAGTGGGAAATAAACCATTCAAAAGCATCAACGCTGACGGCGCGAGCAGATCCCGCCTCGGCCGGACAGGCGTGGCTGAGCGGTGTGCGCGATATGAAGACGCTGCGCCAATTGGCTCCGGAGGAGGTGCGAGCCATCGCCCATGCGCGCGGCTGGGAGACCATTTGTACGTTGATCCATCGACCCGCTCCCCGGACCACCAGAGAGTCTGCGCAGAGATATTCACACATATGTATGCACATATATAGTTGATCGCCCATGGACGGAGCCTCCAGCTGCTGAGCGCCTGGAGTGTGTCACGGCGCAGACAACGGCAACAATCGATGACACACCTGATGCCCCCTCGGCCTCTTCGTCATCGTCGTCGCCGCAGTTTCCGTTCCCATGGCCACCCGTGGCGCCGTCATCCGAGCCGCTGGACCGCATTCTGCAGCGGTAAAAGAGCCCTCTCTCACGCCACACACACACACGCACGCACACACACACACACACACACAACAAGCGCATACATGCTTTGTTGGCGCAACAGTGTTGTTATTTGACCACATGCCTCCCTCCTCTCAGAGCCTGCAGAGAACTCGACCCTGTCAAGTGCGCCGGTTTCCTGGTCGTCGACGACCGAATGCGAAGGTGCGTGCGTGGCTTTGATTTAGTCGCTCCTGCCAACAGCTCATTGATTTCTTATTGGGTGCACACGCGACACATAAAAGGGTGAAGGTGGTCTCGCCTCAATACTCGGCGCTCTCGCGGCTGAGCTGGTGGTCGGGCGACGAGGCCGCCCTGCGTCTCCTGCTTCTCGAGGTGGTGCGCGCCAACGATCACGACTCCTTCATCCGCCGCTACCCCCAATGGTACGTTAACAGCCCGTACGCGCACGCACACGCACACGCTTCGATCTAAGCCTCTTCAGCGCCGATCTGATCGGCAACCAACAGGGAGGCCACCTACCGCCAGGTCCGCCAGCAGTTCCACGCCCTGCTCTCCCTGCTCGAACAGGTGTACAGCCCCCTGATCTCCCGACCCAGGTACTGCAGCCTGCAGCTTTGTTTGGCGTGCGCGGTCGTGTGCGGTTGTGTGGCCACAATGGAAAGTGTTAGCCGAGGAGCCGACCTGAACCGCAATGAGCAGAGAGGAGTTTCTGGCGGCTGCGCAGAACGGCAAATTGAGGAAGGTGCTCTTCAAGATGGCGCGGAAGAGCGTGTGCGATGTGCGGGACTATCTGAACGACGTGGCGCCCAAGAAGCTCGCCGCTTGGATGCGCCTCGCGACGGTCACCCACCGGCCGTAGCGAGAACCCTCCTCGTATTTGATCAAAATAAACACTGCCAAGGCACCTCTCAGCCCACCTGCACAACACAGGGGGTATGATTCACAGGGATATCAAGCACACCAACATCCTTGCTACAAGACGTCCTCAGGGGGTATGTTTCCTGTTGCTGTGGCTACTGCTGGCACAGCCTATGCCATGCAATGTGTTGTGCTACAAGTAGTGGCCGGCTCTACACAAAGAAAGGGCAGAGAAAAAGAAAAGAAACTGCGAAGAAATGAGCGCTTCCGGTCGGTCTGCGAAGGCCTATGCGGCGTTGGTGTGGGCGAGCTGCGGATGCTGGGCTCCTGCGGTTTGGAGCCATCGCGAGTAGCAGAGGGCGGCCGCGGTGACTGCGCCGAAGGAAATGACGACGAGGATGCCGAACTGCTCCGGCGAGAAGAACACGATGCCCATCGCGAACGAGAAGAGCGAGAAGATGTTGGTGAGCGAGTACTCCACCGAGTTGATGACGCCCCGCGACTCCGCCGGCACATACTCCTATCAACACCGCACACGCACGCACGCACGCACAAATGAGCATTTTTGGTTTTAACGGTGAGGTGTGTGCGGGCGACGGCGGCGTGCCTGCATGAGCTGGCGTTCGGCGAGGTCGAAGGTCCAGAGGCCGATGCGCGAGAGGATGAGGCAGAGGAGAAACACCCAGAGCGACCAGGAAGTGTAGGCGTTGTTGTTGCTCTCCTCCTCTTGCAAGAAGAGCGCGCTCAATGCGCTGGCGAGGCTGAGTTGGCCGTCGGCGACGAGGCGGCCGAACTGGACCACGTTGGGCGCCAGGAAGAACACAACACCCACCAGCAAGCACACATCCTGGCCCCAGATCGCGTACAACCCTGCGTGTGTGCGGTGTGCGCGGTTTGTGCGATGGGTGGTGCGTGAGTGCGTGAATGCGTGAGTGCGTGAGTGTGGTATGAAAGAAAAGAAGAAGAAGAAGACGGGCGACGACGTTACCCGTTTTCTCAATGCCGAATCGCTTGAAGAGGCGAGAGGTGAAGAAGGTGGGGATCATGCCGATCACCGACGATATGCCCATGTAGAGGGCGATGTAGATTTCGTTGATTCCGTGCGTCAGCAGGTACGCCGACATCAACGCCCCCGGGCTGCGGCCGGATCACACCATGACACCTCCTTATTAGGTACACTGCTACACTGCAGTTACATTGCAACAACCGCCGGTATCGTAGGTCCAGAGGCGTACCTCAGCGCGGTCCAAAAGAGGAGGGCGTAGGCGAAGCTGGCGAGGAAGGTGCGGCGGGAGGCGATGTAGGCGCGCCACCCGGCCCACAGGGTCGAGAAGGCGTTGCCGTGCGACTGCCTGACGACGATCTTCTTCTGCAGGCCCGGCACCTCGTTGTAGATGTGCAGCAGCGAGAACAGCTCCGGCAGGATCGACACCGCATTCCACATACACACGAATATCAAGCTGCCCGCTACACACATACATATCCACATGTTGACGTTTTTTATACAGTTCGCGTGCATTATTCAAGACCAAGATAAAAGTTAAGTAACGTACTGGTGGATGTGATGGACATGACGAGGGAGAAGGCCACGGGGGCCGCCACCTTACAGAAAAGGCTAATGCGTGTCACCATGGCATTGGCGTCTGTCACAACACAAGTTTAAAAACAGTTACAAGGGAACATAATGGCCAATCAGCAATTAAGTGTTGTGCGTTACCGGTGAGGGCGTCTCGATCGCCCGAGGTGAGGACCACCACCCAGTCGCGGCCCACCGCAATGTCCTCGGCCATGGACGCCAGCGCCGCCACCGAACCCACCTGTGTGGACAGAAAGGGGTGAACCAGCTGCGTGTGCGGTGCGGTGTGCAACAGACATGCGCGCGTGCGTGTGCGCACACGAGTGCGGCGGATGGCCTGGTGCGCTAGGGTACCGCGACGAGGGAGAAGAAGAGGGAGAGGAATCGCCAATCGCTCAGCGGCGGGTGGGGTGCCTCGAAGGGGAGGAGGAGGTAGAGGAAGACGGCGCAGATCATCACGCAGCCGTTCTGCACCATCAGCGAAAAGGTGATGATCTTCTTGCGGTCCACCTCATCCACCATGCGCCCCATCCACGTCCCTAGCCGTCAGTCGTATAGGAGTCAGCGACCATTCGATCGAATGACATCGTGTGCCGTGTGCCGTGTGCCGTGTGCCGTGTGCCGTGTGCCGTGTGCTGTGTGCCGTGTGCCGTGTGCCGTGTGCCGTGTGTCGTATGCCGTGTGTCGTGTGTGTCGTGTGTGTCGTGTGTCATGTGCCGTGTGTATCGCGTGTGGTGCGTCGTGTGGCACCAACCAAAGATGACGCAGGCGAGTTGTGTGGCAAAGGGGAAGGCGGAAGCTGGAAGCAAGCTGTCCCTGAAGATCGACGTCAACAGTAATGGCACCTGCAAGTGTGTGTAGAGTGTATCGTTTGCGCGTTGTGTGTGCGTGCGTGCGCGCGCGCGCATTGTGCGTTGTTGTTACATCAGACGACTGATCCTCCCTATTGTGGTCCAACGAGAAGACATTGGCCTACCGCGAATCCCCACATGCGATCGCCCCACGCCGACAGAAAGGAGCTGCAGTACAGCACTCGCAACAAAGACTGCCCTCGGCCTCCTGCACCGGCACATGCAATGTCAATACACCAGTCCGCTATAATAATAATACAATTTCGATATTTAAATGTAAGATATATATATACATGGGAGAATAGGAATGGTGTGGCTAGGGGTGGCGAGAACTGCACCGTCTGCGTGGTCGTCCTCGAGGAGTTCAAATTGGGGCATCCCCCCCTGCGCCTGGCCTGCGTGGACGGGCGGGGCATCATCGCCATCGTCGTCGTCGAGCTGGCCTGCTGCGTCGTCCTGGCTCTGCGTCCACGGAGGAAAGCTGTCGCTGGACATGTGGATTTCTTGCAGCTCGTCGTGTCCGTTGAATGCCGGCTCGTCGAAGGGCGACACCCCCTCCACCTCGGTCCCCAGCGCTTCATAGGCCGCCTCCATTTTGTTGTATTTTATTATCTTATGCTAATAAAACAATATAATGCGATACCCGAAAAAGGAAAAACAAGAGGAAAAGGCTGTCAAATTTAAAAAAGCAGGAACATGGAAAAGAAGGAGCAGCAGAAGGAGCAGCAGGGGTTCTACCGACGTCCGCTGCCGGACGTGTGCGTGGACTTTGCGTCGGCTGAGGGCCGTGCCCTCTTTGCAGAGGCGCTGCAGGCCTCGCGCATGACTTGCTACTTCCCCCTCGCCGCCCAATTCCACACCCAAAGGCACCCCCCTTACCTCCTGCACTGCTTTTTTTCCTATTTACTTATGAATTAATCCAGTTAATTATTTATTATTTTAGATATTTTAACAATTTAATTAAAATCTCAATTATTTGCTTCGGTGGAAACAGTGAACCGGCGTATTGTGGGCTGGGCACGCTGGCCATGGTGCTCAACGCGCTGGCCATCGACCCGCAGCGGATCTGGAAGGGTCCCTGGCGCTGGTTCTCCGAAGAGCTCCTCGACTGCTGCTCGCCTCTCGAGGTGCTCCCCACCGCCCTCCAGATATCTGGCCACAGTGCGTTGCCACGCTGCAGTTCGTTCTTGAGCAACACATCATCACCACCGCCATCATCGTAATCATCGCCGTCGTTGTCGTCGTTGTCGTCCTCAGGTGGTCAAGAAGAACGGCATCACCATCTCCGAGTTCGTCTGCCTCGGTATCGAACCCTCCTTCTCTCAGCCATGATCATGGTTGAGGGTGATGCTGACGACGACGACGATGTGACATGGGGCGGTTGGTGGTCGGTCAGCGCGCTGCAACGGTGCCGCGGCGCAGCCCATCTACGCATCAGAGAGGTACCCACAATCTGCACACGGCATGCATGTCGCTTGTGTTGGTCATCAGTTTGGCGAGCACACAAAACTCACCGCACGCACAACACCAGCGATGTGGACCAGTTCCGGGAGGTGGTGCGGGAGTGCTCAGCCAGGGACGATCGTCTCCTGGTCGTATCCTACGACCGAAGGTACGCCCAAGGCTGCACCTCCGGAAACGTTCAAACTGTGAGCAATGTAATATAGTTCTATATGTGTCCATGTATTGACGCAATGTCTAGAGTTATATTGTAATTGTAATTAATTGAGTGTTGGGACCTCAGAGGCCTGAAGCAAACCGGATCCGGCCATTTCAGCCCCATCGGCGGGTACCACCCAGACAAAGACATGGGTACGTGCACCAGTTTCTTCGATTTTCTTAAAAAAATACCAAAGAGCTTTACCCCATCTAACCACATCTACCATGTCGCCACGTAACATAGTACTCATCCTCGACGTGGCGCGCTTCAAGTATCCGCCCCACTGGGTCTCGCTCCCCACCCTGTTTGCCGCCATGCAGACCATCGACTCCGCCTCCCAGCGATCTCGCGGTACGTCCACTCGTGTGCGTGCGTGTGCGGTGGTGCGTGTGCGACAAGTGCGATCTGTGCGATGTGTGCGTCGACGCAATGATACCAATCTCATGGGCGTACGTACCACCACCAGGCTACATCAGCGTGACGGCGGCCCCGCAGCGGCCGCACATCTTCTCGCGGATCCGGGCCGGGTCGGGCGAGTGGGCGCAGCTCGTGGATCGGCTGTGCAACCAGCTGCCCGCGCTCTTCGCCCACAACAGGCTGCAGCAGTCCGCCGCCGACTCGCCCGCACCGCCGCCGGTGGTGGAACTGCCCGAGTTCGTCGCGACGGCGCTGGCCTACATCACCGCCCCTTCGCCCAGCCTGCTGACGTCAGCATCGTCATTGTCGTCGTGCGCCATCAGCGACTTCTTCAGCACCTACGAGAAGGACCTCCAGGACCGTATGACCGTCGAGCACCGGCAGATGGTGAAGCAGCTCTTCGACGAGATCCACTCCACCGACATCTACCGCGCCCTCGACGCCACCGACACCGCGAGCAGACGCATTGGCGGCGGCGGCGAAGCGGCGTGTTGTCGCGTCAGCACCGTGCACGATGAAGACAGGAAGAAGCCAACGACTGCGAGTTCATCGCCGGCCACCATTCCCGGCGAGCTGGCGACGCTCATCCTCTTCCTGCTCCTGCGACAGCTCGACGAGACCAAGCACCATCAGCAGCAGCAGCAAGAGCAAGTGCAAGAGCCCGAAGCGGCATCGTCGTCGTCGTCGTCGACTTCATCGCCGGCTCCAGCCTGTTCGTCGTGCACGGCGTCGCTAGGGCCGAAGCAGCAGCAGCAGCGGCAAGAGCCCCACGACGGCTGCGCCCGGGCGAGCGAGGTCCGCTTCGGGGAGTCGGTGGCGGCGGCGTTCAAGCAGCTCGACGCGCTGCCGCTGGTGTCGGGCGAGGTCGGGTACCTGTGGGCCTCCTTCCGCAACATCGCCTTCTTCTGCGCCTGCCGCGACCGACGCACGCCTTGCCACTGACGAGGCTGATGATGATCACACCACCAAGCCCGCCCGCTTGGAGCTCGGCGAGCGAGAGTAAAGAAATCTTCTCGTAAGAACTATAACAAATAAACTCGTGCACAAGCACAAGAGTCTCTCTCCTGGTGGCGATCACCTGAGGATGAAGAGGAGGAGCAACGCGAAGAGGAGGACGCCGACGATCCAGTGCATACAGCAGGCGCCCACCATGTGGGAGTGACCGGGTTGCACCATAGCCTGGGGCAAAGGCGTTCTTTAGAAACACAAACACCAAACTTCAGGTATTTGTGGCGCCACCAAAAAGATATGCGTACCCTGTCGTTGGCGGCGTACACGCCGTAGAAGTGGAAGAACCGGGGGTCGTCCGGCCTGATGTGCGCAGGGCACGTGTCCTGGCTCCTGCTGCCCCACACCACCGGCGCCTGTGGTAGATTATCCCACCATCATGATTGCGTTGTTACCGCGTACGATTGGCATTCCAACAACAGCCACAATATTGCGGTGGGAGTGCGTACGTTGGGCTCTAGGGCACCCTGGACTGGCGGGCACGCAGTGCAGGAGGTCGAGCCTTCTTCCGCTGCGTACGAGCCGGGCGGGCACATGGAGCAGTGGGTGTTGCCCGAGCCCTCGGCGAACTGGCCCCGGGCACACGCCGTGCAGACCTCGGAATTGGGGTGGTAGGAGAAGGTGCCGAGCGGGCAGGGCGTGCATCCCCGCATCCTGTCGAGGGCCATGCCGGGAGGGCAGAGCTCCTCCGGGTCTGGTATGTGAAGAATTCAGAAAAAAATGAGAGAATGACGGGGGTGGTTGAGCTCTTATGGAGGAGGAAGAGCGACGAACGATCAGTGGCGAAGTGGGGCTTGAGGGCGGCGACCACGATATCGAGCACCTCCTGCACGGGGACCACCATGTTGCCGGCCCACGAAGACTCGGGAATGGGCAACATCCAGTACTCTACCCCCACCGCTGCACGCGCCAAAGTCAGGTGACACGGCCATGTGTGGTGTGTGTGTGTGTGTGTGTGTGCGGACATTACGTTAGCAACGCAACAAAGTGGTGGCTTCGAAGATTGGTGATGGCGCGTACCGGCGGCCATGTGCCAGTAGCAGAGGAGAGGGTAGGACATGTGCAGGAATTCGATGACCTTGGTCCCTTCCTGCGTCCACAGCATGTTCGTCATGCCAGCGCCGTGCGGTCCGATGACCAAGATGGCGCGCTGGAAAAGGCCGATGGTCTCCTCCACGCCGAGCGAACCGTCGAAGACCACCAACTCCAGATCTGTCCGCGGACAAAAGGGGGTGCAGCCCTTCAACACCAATACAGGAAACGAAGAAGAGCATCGAGCATGCGCGCGCGAGCACGCACCGGTCTTGGCAAGCAGAGCGCGCATGGCTTTGATGATGAACCTCTCGTTCGCCACATCGCGGGACCACGACCCTTCGCGCGACGCGTAGATCACCAGGTTCCTCGGACCTTGCACCGGAACCTTAACAGCCCAGAGGGGGGGGGTGAGAAACAGCAGAGAGGTCTCTTCGTATGTCTGAGTAGATGAAGAAGAAAAGAATGGCAAGAGAGTGGAGGAATGTGTAGTACGTCGACGGCGAGGTGTTGGTAGAGCGCCAACAGATTCTCCTGGGGCGGCGAGAACATCTTGGTCGGCGTGGGCACGTACAGGGTGTTCGCGAAGATTACCTGACAGGCGACTAGGAGGTTAGGAGCGCACAATACACCGTCACCGGTGAGAAGCCGGTGAGATTGCGTACGTGATCATGGCGGAGGGTCTCGATCCTGTCAGCGGCGATGCCGAGCCTCGCCAAGAACTGCCGATCACGCACCGTAGGAGTAAGAGCTAGAAACAAGACCAAAGGGGCCGTGCATGGGAGTGAAGGGGGGCGGATCCGCGTGCCTGCCGGATGAATGGTCGGTCTCGGGTGAGCAGCCGCACTGACGGGTCCTGCAGCAGGATGTCCCTGGCCATGATCAATCGCGGCAGACTCTCCGCCACGAAGTGGTAGTAGTTCTCCTGGTAGGGCTGCACCATGGTGATTCGTTGTTAACACGATGTGTGAGCGACATCCAAGAAGAGCGACGGGAGCAGGAGGGAGCTCAAGAGTCGTCAGATATCGGATGAGACGGGTGGCATGTCAGGGAGTATTACCTGAAGGATGGTGACGAGCTTGTCGACGCAGATCACCGAGAGGGGTCTCGCGGGCATGAAGACACCCGGACCGTGGCCCCCCGAGGGGCGTTCGCCTGCGTGGCGCATCGGCTCGCCTCCGCCCTCGCCTCCGGAATGCCTCTTGGCCTCATCGCTGGCCAGCTGGCCAGACTCCGACGTGATGGGGTCGGTGGGCTGCTCCGCGGCGGCGGCCGCCATGTCCGCCTCCTCCTTTGCCTGCCAGTGGGGCTCGTGCCACCTGCGATTGCCCTGGCTCGGATAGACCCACGAGCTGTCGAACACCAATCCTGCGGCGGGGCCACACCAGAGAGTGGAGTGAGTTGCGAAGAAAGCAGTGAGCACTGAGCAAGGGGATTCGCTTCGCTGAGCAGAGAGGGAGAGCTCACCGTCGTAGTCGACGTAGGCGTTGTTAAGAGCAACAACGAATGGGCTACCCTCGAGCACAAAGTCGTTGCAGTGCTCACTGCTGTCCAGGTCGTCCGCCTACGCGTTAGTCTTGCACTGCAAAGAAGAAAACGCGTAAAAGAGATGTTCAAACGCGGAGTGTACGCACCCTGTACACTTGGCGGGCGGAACGAAGTTCTGTTCGTGGTTGAAGGTCTCTTCAGCCTGGTCGAGGAATGCGACGTCCAACATCTTGGGAAGAGGCCGCTCGAAGGAAGCCCACTTGCCCTGCACTCCCTCACCTGGTACGAGACGATGAGAAAACATGTAGCGACCGGCATGCCAGCGCCTTCTGAACAAGAGCAGCTGGCTACGAACCAGAGATGGAAGAGGGCAGATCTTGCGCGTCATGCCAACTGGCGCGCTCACCCACGTTCCTCACCCAGTCGCCCATCTGGGGCAGCTGCCCATGCTCGCCACATTCTTGATGCACCTGCGCCTCTTGCGCGAGCGCCACCGCCACCTGCACAACGAGCACGTTAGTACCCTGCGCACAATCTCCACCTCCCAGACTCGGATTTGATGAACATTCAAAAAAAGATGGATCATCATGGATGCATTGGCGTAGAGAAAGTGTCGGGCCTCAACAAAGTCGAAAGGAACAGAGAGATGGTACCAACAATGCAAGTACAACTATACAACGCGAGGCCATGCCAAGCATCAACTGGATGTTTCTCGTCTTCCTCAGACGCCTCTTGGCTATTTTTCTAATAAAGAATAAATAGCAACCAAGAAAGTGCTCAGGAAAGAGAGTATCGCCTCAAAGAAACCTCCAAGGAAAGGGAAGTCTACGCTGCCGGCGCTGCGCTGTCACACGCACGGAGGATTGTGGATGATTGATACTTGTTTGATTTCTAATCACTGAGATTATTTAATTGATAAACATCATCGACTACCCACGAAGAGCAGTCATGCGGTTTGCCCCCCCCCAAGTTCCACTTACCTTTTTGCACGTTATGCCAAATTAGGTTGCCCGTGAGCACGAAGGTAGCGACAAGGAGAGAAGAGGAGAGGAGAGTGAGAGTGAGAGTGATCAAAGACGGATTAACTTCTCTGAGCAGGCAAGCATGGCGCTGAACGAGGCGATCACAGTCCTCCCCTCACAGGGTGTGGAGGACATGATCACCCTCAACAACCTTTCGGAGGATCTCCTTCTCGACAACATCAGAAGGAGATACAATCACGATCTTATCTACGTACGCACCGATACACTCACCCTTTTGTGTTCTTATTGCCATCTATCCACTACTGCAATCAATCTCGTTCCAATCTCCCATTTCTTTTCTTGGTCTGTGCTACAGACCTACACGGGCAGCATCCTGGTGTCCATCAATCCGTTCCAGCGATTGCCGATCTACACGCCCGCCCTCGTCAAGCAGTACATCGGTCAACACCTGGGCGCGCTCCCGCCCCACATCTTCGCCATCGCCAACCACACCTACACCAATCTCCTCGCCCACAACCGCAACCAGTCCTGTATCATCAGGTACTGTAGTACTGCCCTCCCCAGCCAGTTTTGACCAAGGTTTTGAACTACTACTTCTTCTTCTTCTTCTTTATCATCAGCGCCTATTTGTTTGTTTTGATTTTGATCACAAAATCCAAACTAAACTGCGACAAACTCTGTACAGCGGAGAGTCGGGTGCCGGAAAGACGGAGGCGACGAAGCTCATGCTGCAGTTCCTGGCGCAGCGCACGAACAAGCATTCGGTGGTGGAGACCAAGATCTTGCAGACCAACCCTGTACTCGAAGCCTTTGGCAATGCCGCCACCGTCCGAAACAACAACTCGTCTCGCTTCGTACGTATATCCGCACCACCGCACACGCACCACCGCACACGCACCACCGCACACACTGAGCCTTCTCTCTCTCTCTCTCACACACACACCTTCTTTGGCACCTCTTGTTTCAGGGTAAGTTCATGGAGGTGCACTTCACGGATGACGGCTCCACGATCATGGGAGCTCGCCTGCAGAACTGTACGTACACTGTGGCGCATCTCTTCATTTCGGCCCTCGCTCGCGACTCTCTTTCGTCAGACTTGTGTCTGATCGGACACCGCCGATCAAATTGTCCGCACACAGACCTGCTGGAGAAATCGAGGATCGTTTTCCAGACCGAGGGCGAGAGGAACTATCACGTCTTCTACATGATGCTGGCCGGCACTTCGCCTGAAGAGAAAGGTACGACGAGCGCCTGCGGTTGGCACGCGTGTGGTCGTGGTCGTGTGTCGTGTCATGTGCGTTGGCCGACTCTTCGATTCACGTCATGTGTCCCAAACAGAGAGGTACCAGCTGGGCAGTCCCCAGGACTTCTTCTACACCAACCAGAGCTCCGTCATGACCCTCCCCGAAGTGGACGATGGCGATGACTGGCAACGCATGAAGGTACCCTCCGATTGCTAACCTCCCCCCGCGCACAGTAATGTAATATATATGTAATTGTGCCGATATATATCCGCCTGACCTGTTGTTGGCTGCCATTCGTGCAATGCCTGGTAGGCCGCCATGAGCTTGCTGGGCCTGGACGCGAACATGCAAGACCAGATCTTCTCCGTGCTGGCTGCCATCCTCCACCTCGGCAACATTCGATTCAAGGACGGCTCGCCTCTCACCTTTGTCGACCCTCAACGTTCGTCTCCTCTCACTCGCCACAGATGTGGTATGCGTGTGCGTGTGCGTGTGCGTGTGCGTGTGTGCGTGTGCATGTGTGCGTGTGTGCGTGTGTGCATGTGTGCGTGTGTGCGTGTGCGTGTGCGTGTGCGTGTATAAAGGAACGAACTGACCTCGTGGCGCGCTTTCATCGAATCATGATCACCACATCAGGCATCGACGTGATCGCCTACCTCCTGCAGATGGACTCCAAGGCGCTCCAGAACGCTCTGCGCATCAAGACCCTGAGCATGGGCAACAAGGGCGAAGAAGTCAAGAAGCCGCTCACCGTCCCCGAGGTGCGTACTCTTCCAGCTGCCCTGCACGCTCGACACCAACAAACGCGCTTTCGAACACACATCGCTGTTGGCTTAGTCTTTACCTAGCACGTGTTTATGTTCGTTCGTTCATTCTATCGGTCGATCGCAGGCGGAGGACGTCCGCGACGCCTTCTCAAAGATGCTCTACAGCCGCATGTTCAGCTGGCTCGTCGAGCGGATGAACATCGCCATTGCCGGCTCCGTGAACTCGGCCAAGAATTCGAAGTTCATTGGCATTCTGGACATCTTTGGTTTCGAGAACTTTGCGGTGCGTGCGGCACCCCACTTTATGGAATGATTTAACATTTGGTCACTATATTGCTTGCTAACGACGAATCACTTTTTTGGGTCTTACAGGTGAACAGCTTCGAGCAGATGTGTATCAACTTTGCCAACGAGAAGCTCCAGCAGTTCTTCAACGAGCACATCTTCAAGCTGGAGCAGGCTGAGTACACTGCAGAGGGAATCGACTGGACCGCCATCTCCTTCAACGACAACCAGGAGTGCCTCGATCTCATTGAAGCGGTACACACCGCACACACACGCGCACTCACATATTTCCACCATTTTTGTGTGGACCAAAGACCTGATTGTTTGCTGTTACTTTCAACCATGTTGGACCCATTGGCGCACACAGAGACCGCTCGGCATCCTGTCGCTCTTGGACGAGGAGACGCGCTTTCCCAAGGCCACCGACCAGACGCTCCTCCTCAAGATCCAGACCAACCACAGAAAGCACAAACACTTCGAGGACACCCGCAGGACCCCCAACAGCTTCGGCATCAAGCACTACGCCGGCGAAGTACCGCCTTCCGCGCCTTCGCTTTATTGAACAAGACATACATTTTGCGATTAATTTGGTTCTCACCTGTCTTTTCTATGACCGCAGGTGTGCTACACGCTCAAGGGGTTCTTGGAGAAGAACCGCGACACGGTCAATAACGATCTGCTGGCGGCTGTGCACACCACCAAGCTGTCGCTTGTCCGGGAGCTGTTCCGAGAGGCACGTGTCATCGAAGTGCATGCCTGCTTGGTCGATTGGTTTTAACGTGCCCTAATGCTGGTCCCTGTGCAGCCTCCCGCCGACCCGCGCGGTGGACCGGCCAAGCGCGTGATCGCCACCGTCGGCGGTAACTTCAAAGTAACCCCCCCGCCCCGCTTCATCTCCTTCACGTGCGCAACTCGACAATGAGCGCTCATCTCGCTCTCGTGATATTGCCTCCCTGCACAGGCGCAATTGGACCAGCTCGTGACCACGCTCAAGAACACGGAGCCGCACTACGTCCGTTGCATCAAGCCCAACACCGCCAAGGCGCCCCGCACCTTTGATGGCGACATGGTCGCCGCCCAGCTCCGCTACGCCGGCATGATGGAAACGATTCGCATCCGTCAGGTTGGCTTCCCGATCCGCTATCTCTTCGAGGACTTCTACAAGCGCTACAGCTGCCTCTTGTCCGGGACCAGGCTCCCCGCCAGCCAATGGAGGTAACCGCATATCCGTCGCCGCCTCCACGCACGCACGCACGCACGCACACACGCACGCACGCACGCACGCACACGACATACTTTAGCCCAACGAACGATTCGCGCGCGATGTGCAGGGAGGCGAGCGTGCAAATTGTCAAGAAGTTCCTCCCCGAGGCAGCCGTCGGTAAGACCAAGGTCTTCCTCAAGGAGAAGCACGTACGTGCCCCTCCCCCTCACTGGCGGCCGCATTCACTGCGGTCCGGGAAATAACCGGTTGCAACGTTGTGTGTGTCCAGTTGGCGATTGTCGACGAAGCCAAGGCGACGGCCTTGCGCAGCTACGCTGTGTCCATTCAGACCTGGTGGCGCGGCCGCATGTACCGCACCCGGTTCCTGGCCCAGAGGAGGTCGGCCGTCAAACTCCAGGCCGCCGTGCGTGGATACCAGAGGCGCAAGAGGTTCGTCGAGCTGCGACGCGTTACGCTCCTCTGCCAGTCCCTCGAGAGGATGCGAGTCCGTCGCACCCGATATCTGCGCACGAAACGCGCGGCCATTGTCTTGCAGGTCCGTCTACTCTCACTTCTTCTTTATTATTCTATCTTCATTGCTTCTCCTTCGCTCTTTGTTCTTCGCTTTTCGTTCTTCGTTCTTCTCTCTCCCTGGCGCTGACCAATTTCGTTGTGGCGTCGTTACAGAAATTTACACGCCGCTGGAAGGCCAAGAAAGTGCTCAAGAAGCTGAAGGCCAAGAAGCAGCGCATGCTGGCCATCCAGATGGCCAAGAGCGAAGAGGAGCGTCGCCGCCTCGAACAGGAGGAGCAGCGGGTACAGGCGCAGGAGGCCGAGGCCGAGCGCCTCGAGCTCGAGGCTGCCGAACGTCGCAGGCTCCACCGGGAATGCGTGGACGAGGAGGAGCGCCAGAAGATCGCCGCACTCGTGCAAGAAGAGGTTCGATAC